AAAGCACCAGAGCCAAAGGGGAAAGGCAAGGGCAAAGTTATAGAGGAGTCGCCACAGAGAGAGTCGAGTTCTGAAACGCCAGAGGCGATAAACGAAGAAGAACATGATGACCTAGTGCTCGTTCAAGCGTTAAAGGCTTCTTTGGCAGAGGCTCAAGCAAGAAAGGGCAGAGCCTGCATCCCCCCCAGAGCTGGAGAAGGCTCTTCCTCCAAGTAGGCGAAGGAGGAAACGTCCACAGGTACGTTCGATGCTCTGCTAGGAACCGTCAAACCTATCCTAGAAGAGGGGTCCACCCAGAGGCCAATTCTAGGAGAAGAAGAAACCAGAGTACCAGAGTCCGCCACAGTGGGAAGGGTTTATGAGATCTTTGATTCGATGAGCAAAATCCCTATGCAGAAGGTATGTACAGAGCCTGTTACCACTCTGGAGGAGATTTTGCGGTGGCGCTATTCTGCCGTAGACACAGAGCCCCCTTACGATCCAGAGCTTACAGGTATACCCTCTGCAGTTGCGAAGTTTCACTTCTCAAAGCTTACAAAGCCTCGCGAGCAGGTCTTCTCAGAGAACGTGATAACCTCTCTTGAAACAATATCTCCAAGAACGATGTTGAAGAAGACAGTGCTCTATGCTCAATATGTGGTGAAGAGGGACGACGGCAACCTATACACGTTCACAGATGCTGACCTCCATAACCTTTGTGTATTTGACTTGATCTTTCTGCACAAAATTCTTAACAAATACATGGAGAGGAGGTCAAGCTATTCTATATCGCTCAGAAGGCTGATCGAAGTTATGCGAGCTCAAGTGAAATACTACAGCCAGAAGGACTTTGATATAGCGATGAGGTTGGCCCAAACAGAATTGAAAATTTCCCCTCCGAAGAACAGGCAAGGTTGGCTACTTAGATGTCATCCCAACACTATTGTCCAAAATCCCATCTTTGGGTTTGTGTTCTTGGACAAGGATGACATTCTTAGGTTCTTTGATCCCATAGAGGCGAACAAATATGCGATAGAGACACTTGAGTGGGTGTTCAACCAAGTGGCTGCAGAAGTACAAAGAGGACATCTAAGGGCGGATGAAGTGTCTGGTATTCTGGAAGTGATTAAA